ACTATTAATAGAATGCAAATGTCTGGAATTCTTATTTCTCAGTGTAAATCACATAAATAAATTCACTAACATTTCTGATGCTGGTTTATTCATTAAACTAAATGCAGAAGTTCTGCTTCTGCTTGCAATATAAAAGCTGACGGAATAAAACCCAGTCAATAATAATACAAATAAATGAAAATTTAAAAAAACAAAAGCTGAAAAGAGCTTTAATAGAAAGAGTCAGATAAAAATCACAACTTTTCTTGAACCCATCACAGAGCTGAGATAGCATGGCAACCAAATAGCCTGAAATCCAAGGAGAGTCAGGCCAGAGAGTCAGCCCACACTCCCCACCCCCGCCCCACATGTATACCACCAGGATGGTCTCACCTGTAGCAGAGGATGAGAAGGAGGCAAGCAAATGAGAAAAAAAGAAATCAGCTAAAATTTTAGGGCTAGTGTGACAGTATAAACCCCCTGGGAGACACAGACACAAGAGGAGTTCACACTCCATTCAGAGGCCCTTTCCACAGACCTCCACCAGATACTCCTGGGAAAGACTGGAGCAGGCCAAGAGACTAGAAAGCTTCCACAGAGGGTACAGGCATGGAGGAGATAAGCCACTGCTGCCAGAAAGGCATGTAACCCTGAAACCCTCCAGGGCACAGGTAAACACACCCACTGTACACAGGGAAAAGAAAGAAGAAAAAAAACCACTAAAACTTCTACCACTGGGGGTAGGGCAGGAAACAGTCCTGAGTGCAGTATCCTCTACCAATAAAGTTGGGGAAGGGCCTGGGCATTCTCAAGCAAGACTGCAATAGATACATACCATGGGGAAAAGGGACAGAAATATTGAGAAAACCCCTCCCCCAGGTCCAGCCACATTGGGCCTACTTAAGACGCAGGCTGGATTTGGAAAATACAGAATCCCTCTCTCACCTATCATCTGCCTAACAAGCACTGAGTAATAATCAACAGCAGTCTACTACCAGGGGAGGGGCAAAAGTATGGAGAGAGATGACCCACCTCCCTACAGCCCCTGAGGTGCAGCCGCACAGGCAAGACAGAGAGCTGATCATGGACCAGGAACACTGAGAAAAACCTACCAGCAACCCAGCCCCCACCCACCCCAAGCACAAGGTGACAGTACAGAAATTTGAAGCTGATGGTAACCACAGCAACAACAAAACCAAAACCTAGCTCAAAGGACTGGATTGACCCAACGCTGTAACAGACAGGCATGAGACACGTGCATTTCCAGGAATAAAAATTACTTCAGTCTCGAACGTTCTACACAAAATGTCTGGCAGTCAACAACAAAAAACTGAGATACTTGAGAAAGAAAAAGACTCTATTGTCAAAAGAGAAACAGAGCCAGAGTCAGAGATGACACAGGGGCCTTTTTTTTTTTTTTTTAATCAGGATCTGCCATTGGCAAACCACAGGTATAGGTATATACACATACATGGGGGAGTGGGGAGGTTCAGAATAACAAGAGGGAAAAAAAGCAAACAAAAGCCCCTTTATGCTGTGTCAGAACCTAAATAAAAAAAAGTTAGCCATGAAAAAAACATTAGTGTATTATAAAGTCAATAAATTAAAAAATTAAAACAAATTATGAATTATGAATATTAATTATGAATATGAATTCATAGAATTATGAATACTATGATTCTCATTAAGCTACTGAATAACTCCATTGACAGACATAAAAAAATTGCTAATAATGTTTCATAATTTTAAGTGTCTGTATTTCTTATGCTATGCTTTACAGGTGAATGAAATTGTTTTAAAAGTTGTACTAGAATAGAATATGGCAAAGATATAAAACAAAAACTTTCTATAGAATAAAAGAAAACACTTAAAGATAAAAATATTGTCAAAATAATTAACTTCCTTAATAAACAAGTACTTGAACAAAGCAGAAAGAAACAAACACACACACACCCCAACAGAAATATGGGCAAAAGATATCAATTAGAAATACACTGAAGAAACAAAGATTTATAACATCCAGATTATTAGGAATGTGGAAAAGTAAGCACTCGCACCACTGAGTGGGAATGTAAATTGTTACAACCTATATTTCTCCAACTTCTCGACAACAAAAAGAATCCAGGTATTATTCACACTCAAAAGAAGCCTCCTTTCCAGTTACATTTCCACCACCTGCCTCTTCATCCTATATTCAAGTCATATCAGACTGTATTACAACCATATTATTTACTTTCATGCCTCCACACCACTGAACACCTTTCTCCTAATTCTCCTGCAAAATTCTACCTATCTTTCAAGACCTAGCTCAAATACTTCTTGCCCTACTCTCTTCCAGGTTGAATTAATTAACCTTTCATCTGTGATCCCAGAGCACTAGGTCCATTCCTCTACTATAACTGTTAAAACATATTAAAGTTACAGCACAGAAATGTGCTAATTCATATATATAAAGAGCTCCTACTAAGCAATGGACAAAAAAAATGGGAATAAGACACGAGCAGAAAATTCACATTAAAGAAAATATAAATGGCTTGTAGACATAGAGAAAATAGGTATTCTAATAATACCTGCTGGTAAGGGCATAAATTGGCAAGATCTCTATGAAGGCAATTTGGTATTACCTATCAAAACTATAAATGCACACACCTCTTGACTCAATTCTATTTCTCAGAATTTACACTACAAATATAGTCATAATATTTGACGAGATCTATGCACATGATTATTCACTGTAGGATCATTTGTAATAGAAAAAGACTGAAAAGATAAATGTGTATCAAAAGAATGGTTAAATAAATTATGGTAAATTCACACAATGCAATATTATACCTATGTTCAAAAGTTGATTCACGGGGGTAGGGACGAGGGGGCTTTAGGCGAGTACTGCAGTCGCATTCGCAAGCGGGGAGCACTCTGGAGAAGCGCATTCACCAGCCGTGTGGCCTGTGTCCCACACCTTCTTGGTGCTTTCCCCTCCTGTCTCCTCTCACACTTGCAGCCTGTGCGCCAGGCAGGACCCACAGGCGGAGTCCTTCCAGCCTGAGGTCTAGGTTTTCTAGCGCTGAAGGTGCCTGAGGCGTGGAGCCAGCTTCAGTGGACAAAAATTTAGAATGAGAAAATGAGAGAAGCACACAGAGACTGGTCCTTTACATAGCATCTAGGGATCTGCTAATCAGGTGGGACTTAGGTTAGAAAACTCAGAAATGGGGGACAGAGGACTAACTAAGCACATGGACTGGAAATTGAAAGGGAGTGCTCAGGAAACAGAGTAACATGTGCCGCAAGAGCAAGAAGTCATCCTCAAAGACACAGGTAAAGATGGATCTCTGAAAGCTTCCGGCTTCTGCAGATTGATGTGGAATGTGAGCATCACCAGGGAGAGACCCTGCCCACAGGCAGTGCAGTGTTGTGCTCATTTTCAAAAAATTTTGTTTTCTGGGTAACCTAAAAAAAATGTCCAAAGAAAACAGAGACACTGAGAAAAAAAGCTGCAACAAAGAAGAGCAAAAGAAAGCAAAAAAAAAAAAGAAAGAAGAAAAGCCAATCGTGTAGAAAATTCAGGCATCTGCCCCCAGCATAGCAAACGTTTTCTGAGATCCTTAACCAAGGAGAAACTTTTGGAAGCCAAACACTCAGGACCAAGACTCTTATCGATTTGAGTATGACCCACACATGTCTAGGAAGGAATTCAGTAGATTGGCTGGACAGATCCGAAGGTTGTATGGTTCAAATAAAAAAGCGAACAGGCCATTTTGGATCTGCCTCGCTGGATTCACAACAGACAGTCAGTCCCCTATATGAAGAGGGTTTAAGGATGAATGATGGATTTTCTAGTTACCTGCTAAGCATAACAGAAGAAGATGCTTTAGTTTATTTCCCCTGAAAACCCTTGTGTACCTGACTCCTGACTCTGAACATGCTCTTGAAGATGTTGATCTCAACAAAGTTTACATCCTTGGTAGACTTATGGATGAAAGCATTCAGAAAAGGTGACGTTTCAAAAGGTCCAAGAACATTCTGTCAAGACAGCCCACTTGCCAATCCAGGAATACATGGTCAGGCGCAAGAATGAGAAAAACTATCATTCAGAGATATTGGCCATCAATCAAGTATTTGATATCCTGTCCCCTTACTATGAGACTCAAAACTGGCCTGAAGCACTAAAGAAAGGAGTTCCTTCCAGAAAAGGCTCTGTTCTTCAGAACTCGGTGGAATGATGGGCAGCCTAAGACAGCAGCTGCAGGAGGCGAAATTGCTGGAGGGGCCTTGACCAAAGAGCAGAGCAAACAGTAGCGATGGCACACATTAGCCTTTACTTGCCATCTTGGATCTTCACTAGAATATAAGTTACTAATAAGAGGGACCACATTTTATGTATGTTCTTTTATATCTTCCATAGTGCCTGGCTCACAGGATGTGCCCAGATATACATGTTAACTAAGTAAAAACGTTTACATAACAAGGAATTAGCCCTTAAAAAAAAAAAGTTGATTCATTAGTAATAAGGTACTCCTATCACCCATGAAATTACAAGAGTTTCAGGAGCTCTGTATCAGGAACTGGGTCAAAGACCAAATATTAGAACAAAAGATGCTCCTAGCATCCTTATCACTCAGGAGATTTACAAGGCTTTTAGTAGCTGCATTCAGGACTGGGCAGGAACCAATATAAATATTTCTTACTGTCACAAAATCCTAGCTTCACCAGTTACGAGCTCTGTGACCTTGGGCAAGTTATATAATCTACCCATGCCTTGCTTTTTGTCTCTGAAAGAGAGCATAGCAACAATAGCTTCCACCTAAGGTTGCTGTAGGGATTAAATTCATTATTGAATGTTCGTGTTCAATAAATGTTAAGTATTATTATAAGTCAAATCTTTTGTTCATGACTGTAAGGTCAAAGAAGCAGAGATGAACTTTTACAACTGTATGTCCCTGTACCTCTTTATGGAACCAAGAATAATATTTTTTTAATGAAAATTTTAAATGACAGCAAATGAAATAAAAACAAAAACTTACTTTGTAGCAGCAGCAAAATGTCTGCTGGGCACTTGAACACATACAGAGCAAGGATAGAAAGGTGTTATCTTGGAAAGACTATGCCTTTGATGCTGTATCACAACTTCAAAGAAAAAAACATGTAAAATATTAATATTAAATAAGCATTACATTCACAATTTTTACATTCTTAATCGTGTTTTCCAAAACAAAAATATTCAATATTTTGTAATTTATAGTCATTCTTTAAAAAGAGTAATAATGGACACTCCACTTCTTGAAACTAAATTCAAGTAAACACATCTAATTGAACCATTTTGTCTTATTTTTAATTTAATCTAGCTTAGGCTCAGAATATGTTAGCCCTATTAGTACAAATATGTATATGTATCCTGAATTTCTTTTAATAATTTAAATTTCATTCATTTTTTATATAGATAACGCATTCACAGAGTTGCCCAAGGTACTTCTGAATCATAAAAACAAAATGGAGGGAATCGCCTTACCAGAACTCAAGACTTATAAAGCTATGGTAATTAAGACAATTTGGTATTGGCACAAGTATAGAAAGACAGGATAATAAAACAATAAACAGCCCAATAACAGGTTCGTGCACATATGGATATATGAAGTATGTAAAAAGGAAGTGATGCTGGATGCTGCCTCCATCTAAAGATCTACCTTAATTAAATAATAATACATATCACTATGCTTCAAAAACACAAAAGAAAATTATAAGAAACATTGTACCAAAAAAGGGCTGTCATCCTAGCCCTTAGTTGGACCTTATTAAATGCTGAAGAGTTGCTACCAAGAAGTATGCCAAATGACAAATGTTGATCCAAATTAAGACAACCTCTTTGGAAGGTAAGAATTATTGGAATCACCTGCAACGATGTTGCACTCCGAAAGCACCGAGCATTTTGTAAACGTTTACAGTTGTGAGCCACACACACACACACACACACACACACACATATATATATATATANATATATATATATATATATATATGTATATATATACACACCTTTGCCTTATCAGAACCCACTTCACCTATCAAACTTCCTCCCTGCCCCACAGCCCATCCCCAGTATCGGAGGCAGAACCCTGTCCTTGCCCCTGTCCCTTACCGGTGGCTGGAGGAGTGTCAATGTACATATCCCTCCCACTCGTAGGGTGGACGGCTCCACAAAGGAAAGAAACTACAAATATTGATAAGGTCGCTTTTCAGTAGTAATGACCCTCTAGAGAACCTAGAGCCCAGAAAGAGCAGGAGGTCCCCGGTGCAGCCCCGAGCCTGGGAGATTCCGGCTTGCACTTGGCTGCAACTAGAGACTCCGTGCCAGAAGTCGTTTCCCGCCCGCAAGCCCAGACAACCCCTTGCTTTACCTCTACCGAGGCATCTTACGGCCGCCGCCATGTTAACCATTCCGGATGGTGTTGCCGAAATTGCTCCTACGCTCCAACTTGAAAGAGATTTTGACAAGGTTCCCTTCCGGAACTGGCAGAGGGGAAAAAGCAGCAAGAGGAAAGGGGCGGGAACCAAAATAGGCTTCTTGCCAGCGCGGGAGGGAGCAGGACGCTGTGCCCCGTGGCGGTGTAACGGCCAGTCCTCCGTGCTGCCCGGGACTGTGGGTTTCGTGGTTCCGGTGCAATAGCTTAAACATCTTCAGGGAAATCTGGTCTTCCTGGAAAATACGGTCCTGTTGGCGATGCCCTATTTTATTACCCCTCCCCCTTTTTTTAATTCTGCAGTTGCACTCAAAACAGTCATTTTAATAGATTGTGAGAGTACCCAAGAAAAGAAGAAAAACGGAAAACCTGAAGAATCTCAGCAGCTTCCACCGCCACATTTCTAGCGTTTGTGAAAACTAAAATTCGCCGGGTTTTCCACTACCACCCAACGTGGGCGTCCCAATTACTAACAAACTTTCTTTTAACTCAGCGCAAGCAGCAGGGCTTTAAATTAATCTTAATAATGAGCTCTACATTTTGCCCCTGCTGGCAAACTGCCATTAGGATCAATTGAATAATACTTGGCAAATTTATATAACACTTCCAGTTTTAAATTGGCAGACTGAAACCTACGCACAGGTTCTCCTGACTGGGGGGGGGGGGGGGGGGGGAGTCAGTATCCTTTCCATTTACATCACAGCTGTGGGTATGGTTTATGTAATACAAATCTGGTCACAGATCATACCAATTCACAGTTTAAACAAAACCCTCCAGTGTGACTATCCCTGAAGCTGCTTCTGGCCTCTGCCTGCCTCCCCAGCCTCAACCCCCCTGCCTACCTACAGTCCCCCTCACCTCATCATACACACACACACACACACACACACACACACTCACACACACACAGAGAGTTTCTCATCCTGGAGATCCCGGTCATTCTGTCCCCTATGTTTGGAATATCTTGTACCAGGTCACCTAGGTAACTTTTTTTAAGATTTCAGCTCAGCCTTGACTGACTGATGAAGCCCCTCCCTCCTCTCTTCCCAGGCTAAGTTACAGCCATCTCTTTGTGATTTTGTACAGTATCCAGGGCTTATATCTGTTTTTGTTTATTTTTAAACAGTTTTATTAAGATATAATTCACATACCATATGATTCAATCTAAATTGTACAATTCAGTGGTTTTTAGTATATTTACAGAATTGTGCAACCATCACCACGATATATCTGCTTTTCCCACCAGTCTGAGCTTATTTGGGGCAGAAACCATGACTTACTCATTTTTGAAACCTTAGCATATACTACAGTACCTGGCACATAGCAGACCGTCTAAATGTTTGTTGAGTAAATGAATGTATGCATGCATGAATCAGTGACTCAATTAGAATAGCAAGCCTGCAAAATTAACTTGCTTCTGTGAAGCTAGCTGCCCACAGGAAGTTGGGCTAGACCAAAGTTAGGAATTTCACAATCCTTTATTTCATATTTATATATGTACTCACCTACAAGATTTCTAATTTATTGTCCTGTCTTGTTAACACCTAAGCAGTTACTTCAAGTGTTCCACACCCATTTATGGCTGTTATAAAAAAAAACTCAAACAACTTGAATCTTTTCTTACTCCCTCCTTTCTCTTCTTCCTTTCTGTTCACAAATATGTGAGTGCCTGCCATGTGTCGTGCAGTATACTTAAGCTATGCATATGAGTAGATGTGGTGACTAAAACCAAAACAACCATTGCTCTTATGATACTTAAAAATGAATTTCATTTGAAGCTAAATGATGGAATTGGAGTAAGTTCACCAAATCCAGTCAGACAAAAACAAACACAGGAAATAGAGGTGCTGGTCCTTAGATTCTACATTCCTCCCTTTCCATAGCTGGAGTCAGTTGGCCCCCATCTGTGTACTTCTTTATGTATCCTGTTAAAAAGAGAATTTCAATGTCCAATATTGGAACTCAGAGTAACATGTAGTATGCTGATTAAAGCAATGTCCTGTAGAGGTACAGTTTACCTGATTGCCCACTTTGAGCACCAGAACTTGATGGCATTAGTCAGGTGGGCTCCAAAGTCCAATTATCTATATGACAATATAGAAAGAGGTTATTTTGCTTGCGATTTATACAAACTACAAAAATCCACTCTGAAATGGGAACTCCAAGCCTCTAAATATTTAATACATGAGGTTCTCACCGAAGAGAGGCAGTAGAGCATTCTGGTTAAGCAATGGTGCTCTGAAGCTAAACTTCCTAGGTTTGAATCCCAGTATCACCACTACTAGCTGTGTCACATGGGGAAAGTTACTATACCTGTCTAGACCTCAGTTTCCTTATCTGTGATATTGGGCTAATAATAAGATAATTTACTGAGGTTCTTAATACAGTACCTGGCACAGAGTAAACATTCATTAAATGGTACATGTCATTAGTAAGGATCCAGTGAGAGCAAAATGAATAAGCTGTTCTAGTACGCCTTCTTCTAATATCTGCTTATTTCTTAATATGATACATGCTATTCTTGTCCCTACATGTGTTAGGATGTCACTTTCTTTTATATCATAACTTTTGTTAGTATTCGCAGAAAACCTTGAGACTGTGTTTATGCACTTCCTTAAAGTTCACTTTAAACACAACTTTTCCCAGTTGATTTCTAGGAAGACTTACACTCTCCAGGAGCAGTGGCAACATGCCAGAGGCCTGCCTGCTTGGCTAAGAAAAGCTTCTAAATATTTGCCTAGCCCTGTAGATCTCTCGATCTGTTTTCTGCCTTCTTCAACCACATTCCAGTTGCGCTAGAAACTTCATTGTAAGAAGAGGCACTTCCCATTTGGGGTTCAAGTTGAAAGTGGGTTCTCTTATTGGACAAAAATAAGGAACTCCATGATATTTCCTACTTCAGTAGTGTGTACTAGAATCAGTTATTAAAACTCATATTTCTGGCCTCCACCCACACAGAGTTTCTGATCCAGTAGGCCTAGAATAGTCCCATGAATTTGCATTTATCATAGGTTCTCAGTTGATGCTGATATACTGGTTCAGAGACTACACTTTAAAATACCATTCCCTATTGTAATACTATAAATGTTTGCATCCATACCTCCCATTAGCTTGGGAAGAAGTTGTTTTGTTTAACAGTTTAATGCTCCATTTAATATAGTCAATAAAAACACAAATTTCCCCACATGTTATGTCTCTAAGACCAGAATCTACCCACTCTTATGTTCTCTTCCTCTGTGCAGTAACTGCTATTCCATACCTGGATTTCAGCTACAAAACTATCCATCTGTCAGCTGGGCAAATTTCCAGGGTCTGCCTATCTGCCTCTCTGGGTTTTAAGTATTACCAACTCCTAGATTCCTTTCCCTCCTTGTGATTACTTCAGACTCAGATTTTTTTTTCATGAAGAAATGACAAGAATAATGATTTCTTAGTCTTAAGGTTGAAATTTTGATGAGGAATTGGAACTCATTTTTTCTGCCTTGCCTCCCCCATATATGAGAGTTTCTCCATCCAAAAACACCTGCAGACTATTTTAATTCCAGGTTGAATTAGGAGATTTAGAACTGTCCAGTGGAATTGCTGGTAAATGTTTAATAACTGGCTCCCAGTACAACAGAAATGAATTTGTAGCATTTGTCCAACTCCATGGTACAAATATTCACACAATAGCTGATTTCAAGCACCAAACATGAAATCAACTGACTCACATAATTTCTGACAACTTAGCACTTGGTTTTCACATGATTACAGCACACTACTGGAAGTTTCCTGATAAAAGCTTTTGGTAACTTTTATAAGGCCTAAACCAAATCTATTCATCCTAGAGCCACACTTCTCAAACTTTACTGCAAATACAAATCACCTGGGGATCTTATTAAAATGTACATTCTAATTTAGTAGGTCTCGGGGTGGGGGAGCCTGAGACTGATTTCTAAGAGGCTCCTAAGTGATGTTGCTGGTCCATGGACCACACTTTAGTAGAATCCTAGAACACATCTAAGAGCAAAATTCATATTTTTTATCATTAGTCCCAAACAACCCTTTTGAATGGGCTCTCTCTATCTTCCTAATACAGAGAATAAACTTTGTGGGTCCCCAAATTCCTGGGTATAACCTCCATGACCTATGACTTTCAGTAGAGATACTAGAAATATCAATGATTTCCTGCCCCACCCACATCTGCTTCTGGTAGAAACTCCCTTCTCCCACATAAATAAAATTCCCCAGCCCCAGCTATTTGGATTGGTGGAAACCATTTGACCCAAGGAAAGCCCATCCATTCTGCAGCCAGTGATCTGGGCGTGAAAAGAAAAGCTAGGCCAACTGTTCTTCTCATGAAACTGTAATTGAGAAAAATGAAAAACTGGAAATAGAAAATGAAAGTCAACATTTTCTTTGTTGTGGGAGAACTCAAGCTGTAAGGTCATGGAGTACATTCAAGGCTAGAGAAGACTTGAAAGACGAGCTGAAATTGTTAGCGAGCAGAAATGATGCATGAGTAGAGTTACACGAAGCCAGTCAGTTTCAAGAATAGAATGGAGCAAGGATGCCGAGAAAAGCAGAGATATCATGAAGAAGAAAGAGATCAACCAGCCCCTGAGAGAAAGATAGCAAGTGCTGCCTCAGTTCCTGTTACAGTTTCCATCAAGTCTGCTGTATCGCTGTCCCTCTCCCTGTGTTTTTGTGAGCTCCCTATCTACCATATATATTCCTACAATAACCCCTGTTTTCTTAAGCTAGCACCAGTGAATTTCTGTATCTTCTAAACAAGCGAAACTAATTAAAATCATAGAACTCGAGTTATTCTGATCATAATGTATGAATTGGGAGCTCTCTGTTAGGACTTGTAGTAAATAAAGTCTTAATCATGGGTCCTCAGAGTCTGAAAAGCTTTTGAAGGTTTTCTATCTACCTGTTGTATAAACCCTCTCTATAATTCCCTACTTAAATCGTTGGTGACAAACTCTTGAATATTCTGTAAGGTAGTTCATTCCATTTTTGGATAACGCTAATTGTTAAAGTTGTTCCATGTAGTATTAAAGCTAAAATCATCTGCCTTATAACTAATTGGACTAATTGAATGCTTTGGGTCAATTCCATTTCCACATGGAAAACTTTCTAGGATTGACAACAGCTATCATGCCTCTTGGCTGA